GAGGGACAGAGAGAGAGAGAGAGGGACAGAGAGAGAGAGAGAGAGAGAAGGAGAGAGTGAAGAGAGATAGAGAAAAGAAAAAGACAACGAGAGGAAGAGAGAAATAGAGATATAGAGAAAAAGAAAGCCAACGAAAGAGAAAGATAGAGATAGAAAGAAAGATATAAAGAGAGACAGAGTAAACCAAATGATCAGCCTTAAAATCAGTTGAAAAAAAATATATATAAATCGAATATGAACTAACGTATATATCAATTTGTCATTAGGATCTGGACTCTCAGGTCGAGTTATTTGTTTTCATTTTTCAGTTTGTTGCTTTCTGACTTGCATTGTAAATTATAAGTTTCGGTATGCATACTGCTAGGCTTTCAAATCTTACGTTAGGTAAGTGGTTCACTGCTGCGATTAGTTGAAGCCGTTGAGTGTGCAGAGATCATGCAACTAGATGACGACTGAGAGGCGGCAGGGAGACGCTTTGCCAACTATGCATTTGATATTAACGTAAGTCTACTCTTTGCCCCACCCAAGGAGTGTCTCAAATTGTAAAGGCGCGCGAAGAAAACCGAGCGCCTGTGCGGATATTGGCTGTACGGCAGGATCGCCGCTCGGTTAGAGAATATCCTCGGAATCATAAGCAAATGGTCGACCAGGCGGTCTCGGCCAGCTCGGGCCAATTACTAAACACTGTGATGCAAGCGAACCGTCGACGATCGATGTCCTTCTCAGCAGGCGGCTTACGCATGTACGGCAAGCAACTACTGAGCAACAGCGGGGGAAAGCGAGAGGGCAGCAGTCCAAAGAACAGCAGAACCATGATCAAAAATCAAAGGCAAGTGGATGGTGGGTCTATGCATGAACAGAAGTTTGATCTGAGCGGGTTGAATGGACGATCGATGAGCCTGCCGCCGCGGACAACGCTCGAATTGGGCATGGGATATACGCTTGGCAAGGGCAAGGGACCGCCCAGTTGCAATCATCATTTTATTGCCCTCGAGAAGACAATAAATGCGAGCGAGGCGACTGTGGCGAAGCAACGAGAGCGCAACAAGTATGACTCCGATGCCGAGCAGCTGATGGTTGTCGACGAGGCGCTGAAACAGCGGCTGGCTGTACGCTTCGATCGCCAGTCGGAGGACGAGCCAAATCCGGCACGCTTTCGAATTGGCTACGGTAGCGCCGGCCTTATCGATGGCCGACAGCTGCCGGGGACGCAAAAGTCATATACGCTGCGCAGGGAGAAACCCACGCCCCACAACATCGGCAAGGAGCAGACACGCTTCCAGACACTCGGCGAACGTATCCGACAATTTGAGGTTATACAATTTGCTGACGGGCCAGTCACCTTTCACGCGTTCAATCGTCGTCAAGGCTATGGCAGCGGACGGTTCCAACAGCTGAGCAGCAAACACCTACCAAAGCAGCAGCCTTGCCTGAGTTTCCATAATGTCTTGCACACGAATCACAGGCAGCGCAGCCTTAGCTTTCAGACGCGATCGCAATCGCTCGAAACGAATCCGGAGCTGGCACAGGAGCCAAAGCAGATGAGGCCACTGGCCATGATGCACATGTCCAAAGCAACTGATAAACGCAATGTGTCGCCGCTGGGGCAGCTGGGGCCGCAAACGGCAAATTGGCGACCACAGCAGCAGCAGCAGCCGCATCGCCAGCAACAACATCATCAACAACAACATAAACATCCACATCCACATCAACATCATCAACATCAACATCAACATCATCAACATCAACATCAACACCAACAACAAAATCAACAAAAACAACAACAGTCAAAAAACATCGTGGATGTCTTGGCCCAACAGATCGAATTGGAGCCATCGATCCTACAAGATGCACTGTCAGACCAAGTTAAAATTAAGCGCAAGTATTCGAAAACGTCAGCTCAGCTCGCGAAGACCAAGTCGAAGCGGTCTATCAAGCAAGCGAACAGCAACAAACCCCCAAAGCAGTCAAAGCCGGCGCTCCCCAACGTGGCACTTAAGGAAGACTGTGATGGAATTCTGCTCGGATCGATGCCCAGGGTCGATGCTGATAGCATAGATGGCACGCCGCCCAAAGCGACTATTTCCAATAAATTGAGCCGCACCAGTCATTTGACCTTCATTAAAGGTACGGCCAGGCGACCGGATCCACTATTGGCCGAGCAGCAGCAGGAGTTGAAGAACATCAAACCGACCGGTAGAGACGTGCGTGCAGACTTGCCCAAGCAGCCGCCAACGGCAAAAAGCGCCCATCATCTTTTAGCAGCCAGCGCCACCCAAGTCTCTGCATATAAGCGTGCCTTCAAGAATCGCCAGCAGATACTCCAAGCCGAAATGCTACACATACACGCGCAGCAATTGCCCACAGAGCAGCAGCTGGAGCAGCGTCAGCAGCGCTACCAGCAACATAAGCTTTATCAACAACAGCAGCGTTTGGCCAAAGAACAAACGGTAGGCAAGTCGTCCAATTTTCTTTCCATGATCAGCAAGAAGTACCCGATACCAAAAGCCAAGCTTGATCCGAGTCCCACGTCCAAGCAGCCAACGTCCACGCAGCTTCAGCCAGTTAAGAAGTCGGTACCAAAGAGTAAGTTTGGGCAATTGTTACCGGAGAGTAAAAGGTCATCAATGCCGCTGATGTCGGCGGGACAGCAATTTAGGAACCATCAGCGAGCAGCATCGGTTATTGTGCCCGCTGAGGCGATGACTAAGCAGAGGCGCCAAGCTGTTCCGCGTTTATCCTATGCGTATAAGCCCGCTAGCTTGGCAACCGACTCAGAGCAGGCCGTGCCCACCATCAGTCAGAAGCGACAAAAGCTGCAGCTGCAAAAGAAGAAGCAACAGCAGCAGCAACAGCAACAGCAGCAGCAGCAGCAACAGCTGCATCAGCGCCGGCAGCAGGCATATCAAAGTTTTTGGAGACGCAGCAACTAAATGTTAAATACTTCAGACACAGGAGCGCACGCACACCCAAGAGCCAGATACACTCAGACGCACACACACACATAGACATATAAATACACACCCACACACACACATAGACACACACGCACACACACACACAGACACACACGCACACACACACACACACACACACACGACCGCATAGAAAGATAGCTAACACACATGACCTAAATACCCAGTTGTGAAACACTGCATTGACCTGTCCCACACAAAAAGCAAAAAGCCAAACGACACTCGTTCTGGACAATAATAAAAAGTAAACCCTAAATGTAAACATTGTGAACTGCGATTGTGAATGCTGCTCTTTTCATACTCGTTCGCCTAAAGCAAAGAGGGTATATTGGCTTGGGCACATGGGCGTGTGGCGCTCTGGAGTCATGGCAAGTCTGGAAGTTCTATAGATATCTAGAGGAGCTAGAAGATATATATAGTATACGAATAATAGTAAACGGACACCAGTTGGGGGCGTGGCAATACTGTATCCATAGGAGCTTTGCTAAGTGAATGTCCTCTCTCTTTGGATCGTGAACAAGCATCAAGCAGTTGAGCGCGTCTGACTGCAGCATAGTTGATTGTAGTGCGTGTGTTGCATGTGTGTGTGAGGGGGCTGGGGCTGGTGAGGGGGTGGCTGAGTATGCCAAAGGCCAATACTAATTTCAATAGCCCGCAGCCAAACACGCAGACACACACACACACACACACACACACACACACACACACACACACACACACACACACACACACACACACACACACACACAAATACACAACGGCATTAATTTTTCATGCAGATTTAACCGTTACATGACAGCACCAACTAACGATAAGCTGCGCAAGAAAATGGCGACGGCTTTTCCACAGTTTTCAGCCATGGAGCTTAGGGGCAGCGGTTGGCGGTTGACGGTTGGTGGGTGGTGTATAGTGGGTGGTGTGTGCTGGGTGTTAGGCATGCCACTGCCGCTGGCTTGTCAGCCTGCAAATTCTAGCCGCGCTTTTGATTAATGATGATGCGTTGTACATGACTCGCCATATATATGTATATATATATATATATATATATATATATATATATATATATCTATGGAGAAGCTACAGCAGATGAAACAACATCATAGGCATCATAGGCACAGCAAGGCGCTCACTCACTTCTTGACTGACATGGACTAACTATGTCTGGCTTGGCGGAGGTGGGGGTTTGGCCTGATTATCAGATTGACAAACGAACCTATTGACGACGCAAAGGCACAACAACAGCAGAAATATATTTATATATATGATTTATATAACACAACAATTTTGTGTATTCGAAAAAGTGCGTAACTAAGAAGAACAAAATTTGACTGAGATATTGGCTGAACGAATGTTGCCAACTTTGAAAATGAAATTGAATAAAGCTTCACAATTTCCTAATTATGTTCTCATTTCGGTATTTCAGATCCATTTATCTGGGGGGCTTAAGCAAGGCCAGTGAGAGTGCGCTCGTCAGCAGTGCCCGACTAGGATATACCCTGAACCCTGCGCAGTGCTGTTATTCTAATCATTCCTCTCTTCCTACAAACATAGCAGGCAACACACACACAAGGACTGCACTTGGACTTAATTGTTGAATAACTTTTATTCAAAATTTACTAATTCAATTCAGATGTGTGTATTCGGCAAATGTGTAGAATAAATATTTGAATTGTTTAATTGCAAAGTTGACGAAAGGCAGAAGGCAAAGGTCTACGTATCCATTATAGAAACCTCCACAGAATTTCAGAAGTTTTTATCGCTTAGCTTGAATACCACAAGCTTTGCTTCAAAAATCGATGAAAATCGATTGTATAGAAATGGAATGAGTTATCGAAAGAAGTGATCGGCTCATACTGCATATGGTATACAGCAATTAAGTTAATTTACAGGGTCTACAAGGGTCTTGCTTTTATGGTTGATGAGATCGCTGCGTTCACGCACAGGTAGACAGGCGGACGGACGAACGGAGAGACGGAAGAACAGATGGACAGACGGGCAGATGGACGGAAGGACACATGGACGGAAAGACTTCCTAGATCAACTGAGCTTGCCGTTCAAATCAAACCGTTCGAAATCAGAATATGGGTTCGAGGCATAAGAATCTCACTCAATCATCAGGAATAACTTCCTGAGACGTGTTAATTTAGCAAATCACAACAACTTTTAAGCACCAAATCTGATTATTACTAGTTGATTAAACTAGTTGAAATATTGAATTTAACAATTATATTCATTCGATAATGATAGCATAAACAGATTAACATTTGCCTACTTTTTTATAGGTTAAATAAATTTTTAATTGATATATGATAGCGTTCATTAATCCTTCGACTTATGGTAGTATACAATATAGATATAATTATTGATATTGTATAATATTATATTTTGTTGGTCTATACAAATTGGGTTCTATACTTAGTTCTATGCACTGTAGTTATAGAATTCTCAACTAGTTATAGATGCGCCACAGAAGCAAGGCCTTGCATGATCCGGGAGGCTTCTGAAATAGCCGAACTCACAAGCTGCCCTTTCTTTCAATGCCTTTACAACTAATGAGAATTGATTTTTAATTGATGATAGGTAATACGTGTAAAGGTAAGTACGGAATGTTTCTATGCGATTCTCATAGTTTCAAGTAAACCTCACGTCAGTCGCGGGTTGACAACGAGTCTTAAGGGAATTCGAAAATTCTACTTTCTAGATATGTACCCAATTAGAACAGAACATTAGCGGAACTGACTGGCGGACAGGTAAATCTGACAATTGAAATGGGGCCTTAAATTCAGATTTGACACTTTTTGAAGTGGAACACAAAAAAGCATTGAAAGTGTAGCAAGCAGAGCGAACATTTTCAATGGCATAAATAAATAAAAATCAAATGAAATTAATTCCAGCCAGCAGCGACGCGCGCCCCCACGGCCCTTGCCCGCCGCGGCCCTTACGCATCAGCTACTGGCCAACAGAGGGCGCAGCGAAGCAGCAATTGGGAAAGCGGAGCACACATAAAAGGCTATAAAATTAAATCAAATCAAATGAAATGCGCATATGTATGGCGTTTTATGAGATGCGCGTTAGCTTGGGCAAGAGGTGAGAGGGAGATGGAGAGAGGCTGAGAGGATAGGGACTGAGAGGGAGAGGAGCAGTTTGACAGAGAGTGGAGCCAACTTTAGCCAAAGGAAGACAACAAACGAAAGGATTAAAGACAACCACATACAAAAGGCTGGAACTGGCAGCGTGCAGCAGACAGCAGACAGCAGACGGCCGCACTGGTAAGAGCCAGGGGTTGCTTCGGTAACCCCTATCCCCAAGCCCCACCGTTAGCTACGCTTCATCTGTGCGTTGGCTTGGGCAATAAAATAAATCCACCGCAAAGCCGCTGCGGGTAGATTGCTCGGTTGACCCGAAAATTCTTTGGAAGACAGGGCTGCACCTAACCCGCAAACGTAAAGGCCACACAAAACCCTTTGACCGTTCCCCCTGCACAATCCAATCGCTTGCTGACAGTCATTCAGCTGCTCAGTTGGTCAGTTTTTAGCAGCTAATTTCGCGTTTTGGCTGCAGCTTCACAAGCTTGTTGTTGGCTTCGCTTTGGTTAATATTGCTGCCATTTATGCTGCACTCCTCCTGCCACATGCCGCACCAGACGGGCAGACAGACAGACAGACAGCGAGATAGCATAACAGAGAGATAGCAAGCGAGCGAGCAGGAGGGAGCAGAGAGTTGGCTAAAGATGAAGCCACTTCGCATTGTCGCATGTTGTTCGCTTGTTGCCATTTCCTGTGCAGATTGTTGTATAAACCCCTGCCCCATCACCTACTGTATCCATATATATATGTGTGTGTTTGTCACTCGTTTTTGTGGTCATTTCAAATTTTCATTTCATTTGCCATAAAAAGGAAATTGGTTTTGTATGCTAGTTGCCTCTGTCATTGCCTTTGCCTGTGCATTTCCATTCCTCTGCCTTTACTGAGCTTTGCTTTACGCTTGGCACTGGGGTGGGAAGTCAACTGCTTTAAGTTGATTGTCATTGCCTAACTAACTGCATGGCCATCCAAGACACAAGCACAGCCATAGACAGGCGCGCACACGCACACACACACACACACACATATACATATATACACTGAACATGGCGGCTGCCAAATGGCTACCTGCAGCCAGAGAGCTTTGAAATTGTATTGTTCCCGATTTAAAGGCTTTGTCTGTGACTCTCATTCGAGCACATTGACGGCCCGAAGGCCCAGGACAAGACATTCTCGTTGGTCAGTGTGTTCGTGTGGATAGGGGAAGGAGCCAGCGGATAGCTGGCATAACTTGCAACAACGCCATAAAGCATAAACAGCGCTGTCGTCTTTACATTCCCTTTGCCTTCACGCTTTGCCTTCACGCTTTGCCGGCTTCGCTTACTCCCATTATATTTGTGTACCGTACGATTTGCCAGTTTGTATGTACATGTGTATACATAGACATAGCTGCCAGCTATATAACTATCTCTCTCCCTCTCTCTCTCGCTGGATCTTGTCGCCGCCAACTTGAACAGTTTTAAATGCACTTTTTACTTTCCGCAAATATCTCAAAATAGTAAAAGGAAGACAAACAAAAACGTATATTAAATTAACACTCACAGACAGTAAAACCGACTATGCGTGTGCGTCTCTCTGTCTGTATGTGTGCGTGTGTTTCGATGTGTGCGTTTCACTTTCTGATTTGCCGCACGAAAACAAAAAAAAACTGCGCAAAATTTTTAGAGTTAAATTCAGGTCAGGGTTGCCGAGCGCCGCGATGATGGCAATGCGAAACCAGCCGCAGCCGCAGTAAAAACAGCAACAACAGCAAAAACAATAAAAACAAAAACAACTGCAAACTGCATACAACACAAACACACTCACACACATATAGTAAGCGAGACGCACGGCGAAAATTTAGTTCAAAGGCTTTGGGCACAAACAAAACCAAAACTGTAAAAAAATAACAAAAACAACAAAATGGGAAAAACACCAAATATAAAACAACAACAACAATAAAAGCCAACATCATTCCAAGTGCAATTATGCAATAAACATTTAGCTGCTGCCCTCCCTTCCACACACACACAAACACACGCCGACAGCTGAATAAAAACTCGCGTTGGCGCAATTAAAACTTGCGATGCCTTAAATAAATCACAGCATGAAAAATTATTCACAACATTCAAACTCCTCCAAAAAAAGAAAAAAAGGGTAGACACCTCAGAAAAAAGTTGAATAAAGGTAAATAGGTAAAACGTGAATTTAAATTTTTTGTTAACAAGATTCCAAAGCTCAAATAGCCTAAAACTTAAAGATAAGAGATATAGAATATGCACAGAGTGTTATTTGGTTGTTTTAGTTTTGTAGGTTTCTTACGTACACTAAACTATGTCGACTTTTATAGCGTAATAAAGTAACGTAATAAATTGAGTAATCGAGCATTAAATTATATGCTTGTTACACTATATATTATATAGTATTTGGGTTTTAGAGTCTTAGGCAGATATTGCTTCATTGATAAAGATTGCTTTTCAAAATGATCGATAGGTTATTGCTTTTTCATAAAATCGATGAAGAACCTTATAGAACTTTTCATTTTTGAGCATATGTCGTACGTTATATGTTTCTAGGACCAATTGTTCCTGCATTACTATATGTTTCTATATTCTAATTCGATTTGTAACGAACTGGAAACTTGCAAGAGATAATGCATTACATGACAAACTATCACTCTATAAGGATGCACATGATTACATCTGACGGCATCCACTTGTCAAGCCAAGTCCCAAGTCAAATTCACAACGGAAAAGTCGCCTTCGATGCATTATGATGCACTCTGCAGGGAAATTATTCAGTAGCACAAAATCAGGAACCACAGTCAGACACAGACACATACACATATCCTGCAAGGAATGAATAATGAATTAATTTATATTTGCATTAGAGAACAATTAAAAAACAGCTCGAATAACACTCGTGCAGCAAATTTGCTTTCAGCTACGGCGAATTGGCAAATAGGCGAATTGGCGGATGTGCGGACTTGCGAATGTTGTGTAAAGTGCAATAAAGAACTGAGTGTGTGTGTGTGTGCTTAAGTGAGGCAACCACACACACACAGCCAAACACACAGGGACATACTGTATGCATAATATTCCCCTTTTTGGTCTGTTACGTTCGCCTAGCAAGCTAATACATGCACACGCCACGCCCAACGCCCACACATGACTGGTAACTTATGAGGCCGCCTTTATTGCAATACCGTTAGCAAGGAAAATCCATCCAGCGATTACCGTGCAGCCTCACGTAATTGTAGCAAAGGCTTCTACATATGTGTGATATATTACATTATTATTATTACTGTTATTGTTATTATAATATGTGACTAAAATGGAATTGCTCTTATCAAGATACTGCTATTAGAAGCAATGCTGAAATTTTAACTTTCTATTTCGGCAAATTCACAAGCTGAAAACTGTTTGTCAAATGCTCCAAAATTGGTTAAACGCTTGTTGTTATAGATAACGGCTTTTACCAAAAATTATTTGAAAATGGCTTAGTATTAAAACTTAAAATAGTAATGCAATATGGTTTATAGGGTATAAAGAGGGCATTTAATATGCGTTTCTGCTCAAAACAATTTTCTTCACTTGTTTTATTTATGTCTATGATAGCATTTGTTGTCATATTGTTGCTAGAGCTCCACACTCCTTTCCCTCTCTCTCTCCCTCACCCACTCACCTCACCCTGTCTCCCTCTCCCTCTCTTTCTCTCTCACGCTCCTCTTTCTCCTGGCCATTGCCATTTGGTCCTCATCGCTTATCTCTATTCTTACTCCTACTCTATCTCACTTTGTTACAAGCATTTGGAATTTTACGTTCAATTGCATTAGGAACAAAGACTTTTGGGCAAGTTGTTTGCTCAGCCTGTTGTTGTTGTTTTTGTTGCAGCTGCTTCTCCAGCTTAACTTCTTTACATAGTTATTTGTGCGCGTAGCTCATTGAAATTTTCGGTACCGTGAACAGTGTTTGGTTGTGGCTTTGGTTGGCTAAATATTTGTGTGTGTAGGTGTGCTGCATGCTTACAAACATGACACACAAACACACATTTTTCAGCTGTGCACTTGACTGTGTGTATGTGTGTGTGTTGAAATTTCTGTTGCCTTACCAGCAGGCGCACTCGTATACTTATGCATGGTTCGCACCGTGGGCAATGCAAAAATGTTTCATTTAAAAAAATTAACGATGAGCTAAAATACATAAAAATAGCTGACAGTATAATATACTAGATATGATCACATAAACCAATACTGAGCAAAGACTACATAAAACTATCATACCCACTCAAAAAATAAACTTTTTTAAGAAAAATCCCTGTTCTTAAATTGATTCTTTATAACTTAACTTTTTTCGACAATCATAACAGCAAATGTAAAACATACGCATAAAACAAAGCGTAAATCAATAAATTGGACAAAGCATTTACACACAATGCCAAATAAATAAAATATTTTTTCCTTTGTATAACATTACTTGTTACCCATGGTGCGTGCGAACGCGCATATATATTAATATACATGTGTACATATGTATGTATGTGTATATGAAAGTATGTATATTCGTTTTGCCGCCTGCACTTTTTACTTATTTCTGTAGTTTTTGCATTGCCTTTTGCTGTTGCCTTCGGACTTTTGGCTACGGCGACGCATTTCTTTTGACTTTTTGTTGTTTGTCTGTTATTGATGCCTGCCTAACTGTGTGCACACACAAATATATATACAAGTGTATATTGGTATTTTATACGAATGTGTGTGTGTGTGTTTGTATATCTTGACTTTCTGTGCCGCAAGCTATCTCTCTCTGTCACTCGCTTTTATATTTTGTCAATTTCACGATGTGTGCCTGTCCGCTAGGATTGCAAGTGAGTGTGTGTGTATGTGATCGTGTGTGTATGCTTGTCCGCCTGACAAATGGTGTGTTTTTTCCTGCTGATGTATTCACATTGTGCGCAACACTGAATGCTGGCCACTCACAGTCCCCCGCTCCTCTTTTTATTAATTCTTTTTTCGATTTTTTTGCTGCTCATCAACTTGCTTGACTCTTACTGCCAATTAAATGCCAGACTGAGCCAACAGCTTGATATTGAACTACCATGAAAACAGAAACAAAAACAACTCTAGAACAAGTGTGTCACCAAGCGACAGGTGGGCGTGGCTCTGCTCATTTAGCCTTTCATATTCATATGCAAGGCATCAATTTGCCAGTGAACCAAACTGCAGTGAACTGAACTGAACTGAGGAACGAATCACTCCAATACCAAACCTCCCTCTCTCTCTCTCTCTCTCTCTCTCCCATGCAAACACATACACCCTGCCCCATGAAACAAGCACTTTAACTGCTATTTCTTTTTTTTAGTGTCTGTCTGCAGCAGCGCCCCACCTCCTTGGTCCTCTCTTGTACATTTCACGGGCTGAGCTCTTCAGAATCCTGACGCAGCCTGTTCCCTGCCGCTTGTTTGTTTGAAGTTTTTTTCAGCCTCTTAAGTGGCAACTACTTTGCACCTCTGCCATTCACACATGCGCCCACACACACGCACACACACTTTCTCTTTCTACCTCTGTCGCTCTGTGTGGAAATTAAAATGCTGCTGTTTGCGGCCTTGAGCCTTTTTTTGCACCTTGGCATAGATGTTTGAGGTAGAGCTAAATACACACATCTGTGAGTACTTCTTCCACTACTTTCACTATGTGAGTATATGTGTGTGTTTGTCATAAATTATTTGTAAGGCGGCGTATACGCAATTTATATAATCAGCCCAAGCAGTCGGCAGCAGAAACCAAGAAGTGTGTAACACGCTCTAAATGCGCTACTCAACTAGTTCATTGATCAGTGAACGATATACATGGGTACATACATGTATGTATTCATGTATTTGTAGCTCAATTGGTTACTTAATCGTTCGTGAACGATTCATTTCGTTCAATTGTTCATTGAGTTATTCCGCTACCGATCGTGAGCTAGTTACTAAATATGTCGTTCATGAACTGCTAAGTAACTGAATTAGTAAAAATGTGATGATTCTGCTTTTTGAACTTAGAATCCGTTACTCTTAAAACTGCATGTATATAAGATTCATGTGTGTGTATGTGCATATATGTTTGTATGCGTGTGTGGTGGTGGAGCTGTCTGAGATCGCTAACCACGCCCATTGCCCGCATTAGATGCTAATGATTCAACTAACTTCTTTGACATATACACACACACATGTACATGTACATGTACATATACTCACGGCATACACTCAAAGGTTTAGCAGCTACATATTTTGAGGTTCGCAGAATGTAGTGAGAGAGGAAGTTAAGGGCATTGATTGAAAGGTTTTACAAGGTTTTTTATTTTTAGTGAAGCGCTGCTTAGGTGAGAGGCGGGCTCTTGCGGCTGCCTGGCCAAATTGATGCATGTGCAACGGCACATTCCGGCGGCACCGACACAAATCCCCGGCACAACAGACGCCAAAGCCACAAGGGTAACCAACTGCAGCCAGTTGGAAGGGGAGGTGGGATCGATGGGTGGGCCCGAGGGGTGTTTTTATATTTGAAAAAGCAGCATCGATATGTTATTTGCATGTGTTGTGGGTAGGCGGGCTTGCAAATCCCAATACTACGCCAACTTTTAGCTGGCGAACCAGCTCAGCAGCAAGCGCGAAACTTTCTCAGCAAGTTTATGCATGAATAAAGTGAAAAGCTACAAGCGCACACACATCCACACACTTGCACGTAGCCATGTTGTGTACATGTGTATGTGTGTGTATGAATGCACATATTGCCAGGCAACATGGTCGGAGCTCTGGGTTGCATGTCCATGTTCGCATAATCCAGTCGCATACAAATGTTGCTCGAGTTTTGCAAAAGTTGCATTTTATTTAGTGCTGGCGAAACACATGTCGCAAAACAAATGTAAAGCTGCAAATGTGCATTAGTGAGTGCCAGCTGATATTTGGGTCATAGGAAAAATGAATGATAAAACGATATTATAAATAATAAGGAATCATTTTCAAAGATTGGCGCCTTTTAACAGCTTTAGCGCTGCCAACTCGTTAAAAACGCGCCAATTATTGAAATACATTACGTCACATATCGATAGCACATATCGATATGCGGCCAAGTGTCGAATCGCGTGCAGTGTGACCGCATATGCTACACATTCGAAATCCTCAACTTTTTATTTGGGCTATTTCAATAGTAGAACTCCACATCAGCTAGAATAACAGAAAAACAAGCAGAACGAACGGAAAGCGCAACGACAAGCTTGCCCATTTAACCAATAGAAATATGTCAGCGGCTGGAGTTGATGCCGAGCCAAACGCTGCCGCTGCACAACAGCCACAGCCACAGCCGCCGTCACCATCACCGTCACCGTCACCAACGGGCACAACAACTACAACGTCACCGAAGACAGCGGCGACGGCCACAACGATACCAACAACAACCGTTAACGCAACGGCTACGGCTACGGCAACGGCAGCAACGGCAACGGCGACGGCGACACCAGCCGTGGCTGAAATCGCCGCATCCAGCGTAAGTTGTTGGCATTTGATGACGACGACGAAGACACGTCAACGTCTTATTGTTTTGATAGTGTTAGCAGCGGCAATTGTTGTTGTTGCTGCTTGTGTTGCTGTTGCCAATAATCATTTGTGCTTTATTTGTTGACGCTTTAGATACGCTCCGGCTTGGCTGAATTGGAGCTGCGCTCCTCTCAAATGCTGCAACGCCTGGAGAATGTAAAAGCTTTGCCCGGCTCGCCGACCAAAGTGCTAAGCGATTCGCCCGGCGACAACCAGAACCCCGGCGACAGCCAGTCGCTGCAGGAGGCGGAGCAAGAGCGTGTGCCGCGCACATCAGCCGCCGATTTGGTGCTGTCCACGCAGCTGCGCCAGGAGCATCGTGTGCCCTCGGACATACTGAAGTCGCTGGAACAGCTGGTTGCCTATTCGGACAGCGATGATGATCCAGAGTTTCCGCTGCCCGCCCTGGACGATGTCTCCCATTTAGCGCTCATCTCGCACAGCATCGTAGCCTATCTGTCGCACCTGGATCGTCAGCATCTTTTGCGCGTGACGAACAGCATCTCGGGCGACGCCACACGCTGGCTGGGCACCTTGTTCCACTTCAACAATGCCGCCAGCAGCTTTCATGCGGACAACGCCGATGCCGTCCTGCGCACCGTGCGCCTAGCCATTGTCGCTCGCTGTCCGGGCTACTTAGAGGGCGGCATTCCGGCCTTGGCCCAGCCGTGCTTCTACATTTCGGAGAATACGACGCCGGTGCGTTTGCAGTATGCTTGCCGCCAGCTGGGCATATCGCTGGATGCCATCAAGATCATACCGGAGGACAGTAAATATGGTACCCTGGATCTGACGCAGCTGCAGAAGCAGGTGCAGCTGGACCTGTCTGCCAGTCGCACGCCGCTTCTGGTGGTCGCCGACATCGGAGCCTCGCTCTGCGGCTATGTGGACAATCTGCAGAGACTGCGCGACGTCTGCAAGGCGCACAACATGTGGCTCCATGCCAGCGGCCATGGCCTAGCCGCCCTCGTCTGCGCCCAGAGTCCGGGCAATGTGCACGACGTGCTCCATTCGATGGCCCTCAATTTGGGCAGCTGGCTGGGCGTGCCCAGTCTGCCCATTGTGCTGCTCCATCGACCGTTGCAGAATAGCGCGCTGAGTGCCTTCGAATCGGATCCGATCCTCTCCCGGCGACTCAACGCCCTCTCGCTGTGGACCAGCTTGCAGGCGCTCGGACGCAAAGCAATTGCCGAACGGCTCCACGTCGCATTCCAGACATGCAGTATTCTCTTTGAAATCGCCTCCAAGTGCGAGGGCATTCGTGTGCTGGTAACGTAGTCGAGCTCTATTCTTAGCATACTCCTGTAGGACTATATCAGAGCTTGCTAGGAACCTTTCTGTCAGAATAGTCTTACTCCATGTCTCCATATGTGGAACACTTTCCAATTAACTGGCAAACCCAATAACTGGGCTATCAGAGACTTGCCTCAGATGACGTTGATAGCTAGATTTACTATCGTTTTATCTATCTACTATCTTTTTATCTATACGAAGTAGTCGTAGTACGATATTGACATGGTTTCAATTATGTGTACAGATAGGAAGTTAGCTGAGTTTTCCATTCCAAACTTTTATCAAACTAATCTTAAGCAGTCAAAGTCGAGAATTGCTTTTAAATCTTCTACTTTCAATCTTCTACTTTATCCATGTTGTGCGCAGAGTCATACGCCTGGTGCTCAAACGGGCGCCGCTCTGTCGGACATCATTAATAGCGCGTTCGATGTGAACGCCTTGTTCGATGCAGCTGCTCCGGTGGTCGTCTATCAGTTCGATGGCAGCACAACCATTCCAATAACATCGAGTGCTGAGCCAGCTGCCGCTGAGACGGGCCTGAAGCCACTGGAGAAGGTGAACAATGCCTCCTACTTCGATCGGCTGAACTCTTGGCTGGGTCAGATACTACAGCGTGATTGTCCCAATGTGAGTAACTGCATCCCATTGCGTATGGGTAATTGGATTGATCTCGTTTTCAGTTTGATTTTGAGGTCATTGAGCATCCGACGCATGGCAGCTGCATACGCTATTGCCCGCTGGAGCTGGGTCTGGGCGAGCAGCCGCCCAGCTCGGAGAATTTGGAGAGCTTTGCTCAAAGCCTGGAGGCTCATGTGGATATATTGCGGGCCACGATCAAGCACAAGGCACGCTTTATGCATTTGGTTGATCGCAGCGAGGTGCTTCGACTGGTGCCGCTGCCGGAGTGGGCGGGCATGGGCGGTGTACGCTTCGTGCCCGAGGGCTGGGAGTCACTGCTAACGGATCAGGCCAAGACAGAGCTGAACAAGCTGAACATCGACCTGGTAGAGGCTCTCAAGTCAACGGACAATGCCTTCTCGCTGGGCGAGGGCACCGATGGCCTCATCTGCGTGCGTTTCGGCATGGTCACGCACGAGACGGAAGTGGAGGAGCTGCTGGATCTGGTTGTCACCGTGGGCAAGAGCGTGCAGGAAAACTCACGCGTTCTCGACACCATGTCGGAAATCGTGAAGAAGGTAAAAGCTAAACACAAATCGCATATCATTTGGCTCTTTGTAAAACGTTCTGGATGCAGGGCATCGAGGCAGCTACAGCGGACCTGCAGCGCGAGTCCGAGGAGAAGCTGTGGCAAGAGGGCATACTGCGCCACGTGCCGGTTGTGGGTCGCGTCTTCAACTGGTGGTCGCCGCCCGCCAAGGAGTCGGGCATCAAGGGGCGCAGCCTCAACTTGACCCAGGGCGTCGTGGAGAGTACCGAGAACATTTACAAGTGAGTTTGGCCGCACCTTCACGTTGAGCGCGTCGCTCCAATACATTCCCATCCGCATCCACAGATATCACATGCAAATGTCGGGCGAAACGGCTCACCAGCTGCCAGCAAATCGCTCGCCGCCCACGCCCATGATACAGACGCCTGTGGTATCCACGGCCACGTCGCCTATATTCCCAACCGTGGAGCCCGTGACAACGGATGCGACCGAAATGTCCCAATCCCCCAATGCTGTCCCAGCAGCAGCTACGATGGGAACGGGAGCGGCAGTGGCACCGTCAGCTGGAGTGGCTGCCACATCTCTGGCAATATCGGCATCGGCCTCAGCGGCCGCTGCCGCAGCAGCAATTGGCAACCATGTGGATCATGCGCGCACTGTTAGCCAAAGCAGTGCCGGGTCGTCGTCGGTGCCGGAACTGGTGGCTGTCAATAGTGCAATTAACAATAAATAACTAAGCGACTTGGCCCATTTGATAAAAGCTTATGATGATGATAATGATAATGATAGAGATGACTACAATGATGACGATGATGATGATTATGATGTTGAACAACAGGCTTGAGCAGCGCCCACTTATGATTACGCCGAAAAACAAATGTTTCCAACCAGCAGACATCATAATAATAATAACTTAAGCCTTATGCATACCTAACCAGATGAAACCTTAAAACTTCTAACGCAATTCTGTAATTCCAAAGAGCCCGAACAGGCATCCGACTGATGGATGATGTTCCCCATGCAATTGCACCTTTGCTTCTATGCATTGCAGATAGACAGACGCCCGACAACCATGTCCATCCCTCAACTATCCAACTATTGTATTATCATTTATCTATTCCCACATATACATATATATATACAGTATATATACACATATATTTTTAACCAATTTATTATTCGTATTTGACACATTATTTTTAACTTTGATTTTGCATCGCTGTCGTTGACGTTGTTGTTGTTGTTGTTGTTGCTCTCCGTTGGGCGTTTTGAATTCCTTTTTCCGTTCTCCTTTCGTTTATTTTCGTCTTTTCAAATTATTCAAATACTTTTTTCTATATTCTTATGTTGATAATTCCAAAGTTTAATCATTTGCAGCATTCAAATTTATAATTTGTTTAGGCGCTAAGTGAAATCAAAAACATAAGCAACAACATTTATATATATATATATATATATATATATATATATATATATATATATATATATATATATATATATGTATATATATATGAAATGATAAATATATTTATTATACGAGTTGACACGAAATATGCTGCTGAAAATGTGCACAATGATAATGAAAATAAATATTAGTATAATTATATAAAAAAATAAAAAAAATAAAAAATGAATTTCCCAACTGTTTTTCAGGCGAAAAAGAGATAGCTGTCTATTGCTGCACTCCTCATTTCCATTATAGAAAGATATATGAGGCGCAATGCGGCCTGAATGACTGAAATATTGATAATTTATTATCTGATGTAACGCATGAACAATTGTATGTACGCATGTCATACAAGTATATGATGGTGCATATATATATGCATGTATTCCCTTTGCCATATGAGGATGTATGTGTGTATGTATGGTATGTATGGTGCATGAATGAATGTATGCATATGATCTGTCATGTATACATATGTGCCTGTGCGTCTGAATGATGTTGATGTGCGGATACTTATGAATAATGTATGGTATGTACAGGTATGTATAAATGTACATATGCATATATGATCATATGATGCATGTGTATAATTTATGATGTATGTATGTATATATGTATGATTACATCATTTTTGAAGCTCATGTGTATGTAAATATGAATGTGTTTATGTATGTACGTATACATTTAGTGTGGACAAATATACGTACATCTACGTAACATATTCATGGATGTATCAACTATGTGTAATATATGATGTAAAAGTACATCTGTGTATGTAGCTGCGCAGGCATTTACATAGGTTCGTAATAACGTACATACCTATGATGTATACGTATGATGTATGATATAGGTATGCAAGTATGCATAGATGCTAAATGTGTGGATGTGTATATGATGCATGATGTACGAATGTATGTATTCATGTATAAATTAATATGTTGCTGGTCCAGCGATGAACTAGGCGTCGGTGGCAGGTCCAGCGTTGATCGGGTATTTATAGTCTTAATCAATAAGTTGCTGGTCCAGCGATGAGCTAGGCGTCGGTGGCAGGTCCAGCGTTGATCGGGTAATTATAATCTTCTTATGATGATTATGTTGGAGGGTTTGACTTCACCCCCTTTTCTATTAACTGGCCTTGTGGCTCAGCAATGATCAGAAATATAACAATTTGATTACGGCGGTGTGCCGGAGTAGTGCGAGTTTATTCTTCAAACTTCAATACAAAACTGATTTTTAGCTACATAGAATATTTCACTTAAGCTAAGCCAAAACTCGCATCACACCACAATGTCATGGTCGGCAAGCCGACTCAGCAATCTTAGGCAATAACGGAAACTCTTGCAGTAAACAAAAGTATCTGGTTACCACCGCTGACCATTGCAGTTATAGCGCGCTGATACAAAGTATGCAGTGTCGCAATTGCGAGGGCTGTTTCTTAACTTACGAAACACGCGATAGCGAGGGTTGATTATAAACTTATGAAATACCCTATATTAAATGTTATGTGTTAACTACTCCCCCTTCAAGTGTAAGGCCGCCCTCGGCCGACCCAATTCCGGCGACGACTTCTCGTAATTGCTTCGCAGACTTCCTTGCGTCGATGAACCGCCAAAGGGTGAAGCCAATGCAGATTAAAGCACAGCATATAGCTCCAATGATGAATGCCACACGATAAGCTTGATCAGTTCCGGCGTCTTTCTTGAATTGCTGTATCTCCTCCAAATTACGTTCATTTAAACGATGAAGATAAGGGAGGCTGAGGACATCTTGGCTGGCAGTGATGTTCAGCAAGGGAGAGTTGGCAATGCCCGGGACTCTATTGCGTACGTTGTTGTGGTTGTAAAACAGAGTCCCGTTGATCGCGACTCGGTCCCCGAACGTAATGAGATGCGTGCCGTGTACTTGGATTTCAGTGCCGTTATCCACCTGGATCCTTGCGGACCCGTCGTTAAGAATGATGATTCCATCATCTACGTGGGTGATTATTTCCAGGTTGCTCGGCTGGATTTCACAGTGTGCCGTGCCACCTGCATGGAGCTCTTTGGCACATGAACTCTCTAATGCCAGACGACAAAAGGTGGCTCCAGGTGAAGCGGTGCAACTCTGCAGTGTGTGGGTTTTTCCATCGCATTCGGCTATGACGTTGTCAGGCAATCGCAATATGAAATTCTTGTGAATGACAGGATAAATCGTAATTTTTCTGCAAGCTTGTTTAATCTTTGGGAATTTAATTATAAAATGTATAGTGTTAATGGATTGAAGGACTTTTACGGACGCAACGGACATAAGATCTCCTATGGGAGTGTTGGTGGGTTCCTCTAGCCAAATTGATTTCAAATCTGAGTGGTCCAAAATGTTTGGGCTAACAATGTTAGCCTTTGCAAGAGTAATAGCAAGCATTAAATTTTGCAACTCCATTACCAGCATTCTATTTCTAGACAATAGTGTCTCGAATAAATGGCTAGTGTCAACTTGTGAGTTTTTGGCTATCTTGAGAATCTTATTGACAGTGAATGTCAACTGGTTAAGCTGGTCTTGAACTCTAGTGTTTATTTCTATCTGTCTATTGTTGGCATTTACTAGCTGCCTTTCAGTAAATCTAGTCTGCTCTAAATCCCTGGCATCAGGTGTACCCGCCACAACCTTCAGTATGGACCCTAGGAAATCTAAACTTCTGGCGACTCTATGATGCGTGCCTAACGCCTCCAATAGGTCTTGTAGATGTACCGTGTCCACACTCAGAAGTTTTTTCATGTGGGATAGCGGGAACATGTCAATTAATTTGACCGTTTCTTCCACAATTCGCACGTATTCTGAGAGGTTTGCCGAGTGCCTAACGTAGGCGTATTCTTCCCATATCAAGATTTCGCCGTCGATGATGGGAATGTACTTGGCACGCGAGTAGTCGGTGACATGTGCCGAAGCCACTGATAAGAAAAGGAGTACTATGGATCCCAACCTGTGAAATAAGGTTGTTTCCTTTCTTTTTAGCAACCTTTTTTTTTTTAAAAGGTTTGCCCACCACCAAAAATGTTTAATAAAAACTATGCCAAGTGGCTAAAAGTAAATTGAAAAACTATATCTAACTTATACAAGTTTGCCTAGTGGCTTAAAAATAAAAAAAAACAAGAGTCATCTTAGGTTGTCCTTGTGGACCACCCTCCCTCTAATGAGGACCTCGGTCCCCAGGTCTGCATCCACGGCCTTCTCATCACATAAAGGTGTGAGTTTGTTTCCGAGTCGTCGGTTGGACTTGACCAAAACTTTGTCACCAACGTCAAAGACCCTATTCTGCCGATTTGCGTTCTCCCTAGCTCTAAGCGTCATCTGAGCGTTTCTGATCTTTTCTTGTATTTTCTCTTGTGGCTCATCTGGTTGAGCCTGAACCACATCAACTGGTCTCTGGTCGATGACCGAATGGATCGACTTATTGTACTCAGTTGTAGCCAGTAAAATGACTTCTACCGTGTCACTTATGCCCTTATCGATCTTTAGGCATCTGGCTAGCTCCAAGAGAGTGCTGTGAAAGCGCTCAACCTGTCCATTCGAGATGCTATGCAATGGTGGTGCATTTGAAATGCTGACCCCATAGTTGTTTGCGAGCATAGTCACGATGGTCTCTGAGTTCAATGACGGTTCATTGTCACAGTAGATGGATCTGGCTTTTGGATAAAAATTCATCAGCTGCATTAACGCTGGCTTCAGATCCACGATGGTTCTTGAAGGGACCGGTTGGACAATAGCAAACTTAGAGAACTTGTCGATGCAAGTGAGAAAGTATTTCCTGTCAGTGGAGAAAATGTCTATGTGTAACATCTCTCCTACATGTGAGGGTATCGGAGTTTCCCCAATCTCTTGTTTTTTGGGGTGTCTATCGTATTTAGCCCTAGCACATGTTTTGCAATTTAGTACTATCTCATTGGCTATTTTTGCCATCTTTGGAAAGTAGTACTCTGAGAGTACCTGCTTAATATTCTCTTGTGCAGCCCTATGGGCCCTATTATGTTCGGCCGTGAGAATTTCCCTTCTTTCTCCAACTGCCAATACGTCCACTACGCGATTTTTGCAGTGCCAGAACTTTGTGGCCGGGTATCTTCGAACCAATGTATCTTGTATCATTGCAAGCGTGTGTAAATTACAGTGGAGAGCATTCACGCATTTGGGTGAAACTACATCTTCGAGCTCGTCTAGCAGCGATTCGACGCAAGTATAGTTGACCAAGTGGCGTTTCTTGTTTCCAAAAAGAATAAAACTTCGTTTTAAGGGGAAACGCGCCTCTTCTATAACTATTTGGTTTTGAAAACAGTTCAAGGGCTTATCTGTTGTCTCGATGGTGTTGGTAAGTGATACCTCACTGTGGATCGTTGCTGCGCAGGACTCAATCTCTTGTTCATTTACAGCGTTGAGCTGTTGTCTTGACAAGGCATCCGCAACCAGATTGTCCTTGCCAGGTTTATAGAAGATACGTGCATTAGACTCGTCAATGCGCGCTTTCCACCTTTTGATCTTCGCATTTGGATTGGATTCCGAAACTGCGAAGGTCAAGGGTTGGTGGTCAGTGAAGACATTAATGTCTTTCACCCCATACAAATAGTGCCTTAACTTGGCAAGTGACCATACGATGGCCAATAACTCTCTCTCATTTGTTGCATAGTTAACCTCGCTGTCCTTCAATGTTCTTGAAATCATTGTTATAGGACGACCCTCTTGTGACAAAACTGCACCTATGCCGTGAGCCGAAGCATCGGTCGTTAGATCGAATGGCTTCTTAAAATCGGGGTACCTAAGCATTACATTCTCGGATGACAAAATATCGCGCAACTTCTGAAATGCCCTCTGCTGCACTTCAGAGAATTGAACCTTTATATTTCTGGACCTATGCTTACTGACTGTTCCATTTTCACCCTTCAGGATATTCGAGATGGGTCTTGCTATTGCGGCGAAGTCCCTAATGAAACATCTGTAATAACTT